TACACAGACCTTGTTCTTTCCCCCGGCGCAAAAGCCTCTGAGGGACCTGGCCTTCAAGGGGCGCCGGGGGAACTAAAATCCAGGATGTTCACTTTTCAAGTGTTTTCTGGTTTCTGTCTCCTTGTTTACGCGCTTGTTTGGTTCATGTTGTTGCTTCTCTCGTCGTCAGTCCGTCCATATTTTAAGCCCGTGTTTTGTTCTCTTCAATTGTTTGCACCGGCTTGTTTCGGTGGATTTGGTTGTGGGTTTGTATGTTCCGGTCTGTCTGGCTTTCTGCCTGTTGACATGTCTGCCTCTTACAACATTTTTCGTTTACAACATGTTAGTTTTTGCTGGCTACATCAGCCTTCAGTTTCATTTCACTTTTGTTTTTTCGTGAATGTTCTTCATAGAAAAAGGAACCACATGTTGGACTTAGCAAATACACACGAAGAGTTTAATAACTGCTTGTCTTTGGACTTACTATATCTTTCTAGTGGCACTTAATGAGTTCAACGTCGCACATATTAAATCGAACCGCTTGGCTTACTATAGCTATCATATGTAGGCCAACGTGGTTAACAAGTCTTAGTGTAAATCCAGCAGTGAGACTTAACTTTCTCATAGATGTAGTAGTTACCTAACTACTGCAAACCAGATACTAAGTTGCGCTATAAGCGCTGCAAGCTGCATGAACATTTATAACCACACCCGCACATCCAAGTAACTGGGCTGACGCAATTTCAAGGTTAGGTTGGTCTGATCCGTGGTGGCGAACCAACGGATTCACCCCTTTTTCCGTCACTTGCCCGTTCTGTCTTTGGCGCCTGCCGCTTCCAGCAGTGATTCGTGTCATGGAATTTCTCTAAGTGCGTTTGGAATATTTTAAAGTCCGGAGTGACCCGAGGTGAACCACTGTAGGTCTGACTGTGGCAGACCTGCCAGCGCAGGTAACCCAACGCAATATCCTGCAGAGGATTGCAGGTTGATGACAACACGTTGGCAAGTTGACAGTGTGAAAAAGAGGGTGTGCCTACCGTAGCGACGATGCACAACCTTGGACAGAAATGTAAGCGTGTTTCAGGTCTGGCAGGCTTGGGTGAAAACACGGATTCATTTCTGCCATAGGTTGGAACTAACGAATATTTTGGCCCAAGTGCTTGGCCAAAATAGCGTTTGTTCTCTCTTTTCCCACCCGGTTTATTTTGGTGCAAGGGCCCCCTTTGGGATCTCCCTTACCCTTGAAGGGCTAGCGAGCTAGCCTGGGGCATGCGCAGGGAACTGCGATCTGTCACAGAGTTAGGCGGAGTGACCGCCTTTAGACCACTTTTAACTCACCCCAGGAGGGGGGAGTGGTTTCCGGAGTGACCGGAGGTGAACCACTGTAGGTCTGACTGTGGCAGACCTGCCAGCGCAGGTAACCCAAAGCAATATCCTGCAGAGGATTGCAGGTTGATGACAACACTTTGGCAAGTTGACAGTGTGAAAAAGAGGGTGTGCCTACCGTAGCGGCGATACACAACCTTGGACAGAAATGAATTACTGTATATAGTCGCAAGGCCAAGAATGGGAGATGTAACGTCAGACACACCAGAAGTTGTGATTTAATGAGCAGTTTGAACAGCTGGAACAGCTTCACAGCCTTCTCCCAGCATCGTATTTCTCAAGATTGTCCCATGACAAAATGAGCCTATGATAGCAAAAAGGTTCTATTTTTCTCAGTTAATTATGTGTGTGTTCTTGTAATTGTTGCTTTCTTGTCATTGTTGCTATTTTCAACATCCAGCCATGGTTCCCAGTGTAGTGGCCAGCTGCATTGTGTGCACTGCTGTAGGTGCGTTATCGTGGAACCTGATAAGGCGCTTGCCACCTGATTTCGGATTGCAAGACAAAAATGCATGGCGCAATCATGCATTGGGACATGCCAAACTTCAAAGGCAGGCCTGCCAACAAGAGCAAAGGGTGCCTGGCATTGGATGGGTTTCGCTTAAGACTTAGCTGCTAGTTTTACGCGGAACTTCGTAACCCAATAGCTTGTGCATGCAGAGGCGTCAACTTACTTTTTTGTCAATCCGCGGGAAGAGTTGGCGGCCTGTTTCCTGACCCAATTGGTCTCCCACAGGCTCGCAGAAGCCAGTGTTCGGATTCCGATTTGTTCGAAAACAGCTTTGGCCGTGTGAGGACCTATCCAATCCTTGATGAGCTTGTTCAGGGCGTCCACGAATCACTAACCTGACTGGTGCAAAAAGGCATTGAGTGTTCAGCGGTCTTGGCTGCACTTTTCATAATTCATTTCTTTGCAGAATGATGTCCCGCCCCTCTCGGCACCTGGGAGTCATCCAAGAGTTTGCCAGTTTGTTGCTTCAAGGAAAAGGTCCTCGTCAGCAGAATGCTGTCGATTCAAAAGGTAAATGAAACGATGCACGCAAGCAAGAAGGCCAAGACGGCATGGCATAGGGACACATGGAAGAATAACAACGACTGAGACAAGTGCAGGTGCTGACAACCATGCATCATGCATGCTTGAAACTTTAGAGGCAGGAACTCCCACGCTCCGAGGATGTTGTGCATGCTTGCGCCAAGGACACTCGTTTGGTAGACATCCTAGGTAAGGCAGTGACCTTTCCATACCTTTGCTAAAGTTAAGTGCGATGTTTCAGATGCCAAAATACAGATGCTGCAATGTGATGCAATTTTGTCCTACCTCACCCGACCTTACCCCGAAATAGACTTGAAATATATACATCCATTTTCCCTGCCTCAAGGAACTAAAGACTAAAGATGTCAAATTAATTGCGCTTTTATATAAGCACATCTCAACAAAATGGGAGAATAATGAACGCGGCAAAATCACCAACCGCAAAGGTGAGCAGAGAAAGGATGGCCAACTTGATGCTAAACACCAACACGTTCCATGCTAGCCAAAGAAAGCAGACACGGGTTTCACCCTCGATATTCAATCATTTGAGTTTGAACCCCGTGGCACGTCGCTTGCAGCAGCTTCACAGTTAGAAAATCATTTATCTTTGTCCCAAGCTGCGTGATTGTCCGCAAAGTCGCTGATGTCCACTTGGCAAATGTGGCGTTAGTTTGGAAGGGACACAAGGAACAGGCCAAACTCCAGTGTTCGCAATATGTCACTAGAAAATGTCAAGGCTGCCAAGCCGATGTCAAAGCTTCACTATATTCGTTTTAGACTCGATGTGAGTAAATAGAGGTTTACTATGGTTTGCTCAGATGAAGCCGGTTGAGTAATTAAGGCAAGCGAAAATAAATAATAGATATGCAAACTGTGGTTGCAGATGCGCCAAGTTTGAGCATCCATTCAGAAGCTAGGGAGGCAACCGCCGGGCAGGACCTGACATAGGAGGACTTCAATGCAAGCTGGCGGGCTGCAATTCCCATGCTAGAACGGATAGAATTAGAAAAGGTTTTTGGCGCCTTAGGACCATGCCCGGCGCCCAGAAAAAGTAATCAACATGTCCAAAACATACTAGGCAAGCCAATGGACATTCTGCAGGTTTGTCCCAAGGCCAACCCCCCAAAAAAAGAAGTGCATTCACACATGGCATATATATGCCTACGGGTGTAAAACCGAACGTGTGACTACTGCGATTTTTGAAGTTGATGCTACGTGAAAGGTGGGGGGGTTGGGGTGGGGTGGGATGGGGCATATTGACGTTCGTTTGCACTTGCTATCTGAAGTTGATGCTACGTGAAAGGTGGGGGGGTTGGGTTGGGGTGGGATGAGAACATTGTCATCGTTTTCACGACAAGTAATCTTCGGTTTCATAACATTGTCATCGATTAGTCGTGTGATTAAAATGGGGTGGGGGGGGTGAGGGGGGTGATGGAATGAGGATGTGGATGTCATGCTGAGAACATTGTCATCGATTTCACGACAAGTAATCTTCGGCTTCATATCATTGTCATCGGTTTCATAACATTGTCATCGATTAGTCGTGTGATTAAAATGGGGTGGGGGGGGCGTTGTGATGGAATGAGGATGTGGACGTCATGCTGAGAACATTGTCATCGATTTCACAAGTAATCTTCGGTTTCATAGCATTGTCATCGGTTTCATAACATTGTCATCGATTAGTCGTGTGATTCGCAGATGGCAGTGGCGTTGGGAAAACACCACGTGTACTAACTTGTGCAAAAAACTGCGCAAGTCTACTTGAGACAGGAGGACAGCCCGGGACAAAAACGGCGACGGATTTTGCGCTGGCGCTTGGGTTTCGGCAGATTCGGCTTTAAAAATGAAAGGATCCGGGACCCCAAAAAAACATCATCGAACAAGCAAAAGTACTGAGAGGGCTTGCACGTTTGATTCAAAATTTGCACGACTACACGTGCGATTCCACACCCGGCGGGATATATATGTATATATATATATACTGTAGCATACTGCATAACAAAGAAGATAGCAAAACGTGCGTGCTCACGTCAGAAAATTAGGGAATTGACAGATTCAGACGCATGTGTTTTTGCGTGTGTGCTTTTGCGGCGGTTGTGTAGTGTGACTTTCCATAAAAGAAGTTACGATCTTCCCGTACAGAACCCATGATCCTGAAAGGCGTAAAAATCAAGCACAGGATGGGCGGACTGTTTCGGCATTATTATAGGCATTTTAAGGCTGCATTGGCATTTGGTCAACACGTCGTACACAGTGGGTGTAAATTTGTTTGGCAGACTCCCACCCCACCAACATTGGTTGGTTTTTCCTCGAGCCAGCTCCACTGAACACACCCAATGTCTTGAGTTCACCAAACATGTCAAAAATTAATGGATCATGAGTCATGAGTTTGTTTTTTGTAGTGGCTACTAGGTGCTGTTGGGGGTGATCACGCTCCTGGCCCCAAGAAGCAAGACCCTTCACGCACATGTTCGCATTTGGGGCTTCTGATGACAGCTTTCAGGGGCAGGCGCAGTTGACGAACATGAGTTATGTTTAGCATCGCCTGCCCTCGTGGCAAATCAACTATCAGACAACCATGACTTAAGTGACTTGAGTGTGGTGAATCTTGACCCTTCAGTGGTGAAAGCAACAGTGCAGTGCAATGGACGTAGAGTGGTCAGACCTCGAATGCAGTGGAGTATCAGCTGACGACATCTCCAGGCTCGGTTTGAATGCCCTTGACGCACATTCTCGAGTAAAGTTTCGGGCCAGGTGCGCGGCCGTCCTACGGGAAATGAGAGCTGCTGCAGCTGCTCCCAGTTGTTTTGTTCAGTCTTTTTAATGTCGTGCAATTGTGTAACCCAGGACTTGGAGCGCCCAGAGTTTGCTTCCATACGCGAGGCCTTAAATGCAGTGGTTTCATCAATCATTCTCCCAGTTCCAGTGGCTTTGTCGAGGCTGGCGTGCCCTTGTTCACAACTTACCCGGAACTTCTTTCGCAGCAGCAAAGACAAGGGGCTAGAGGAGAAGGATGAGCCGGTTTGCTTTGTAGAACCAAGGTTCAGAAGAACCATTCTCAAAGAGAGATTTGGATCAGAGGATGTCCTGCACTTTCTGAAGAAGAAATCTGTTTCTTGCATGTGCCAAGCAGAGCTAACAGAGCTACGAAGAGGGTCTATACGATACTGCGACAGAGATGCTGGCAACAAGGCCATAAGGGATCATCAAAATGTTGTTTTCCCAGATCATGAGACAGAAAACGTGCAGAAGCAAAGAAAACCACACACAAGCACTCTGAGAGATGAATAGAAGCCCACAAAGTACCTGCCCAAGTTGCTTCTTTTTATCTGAGGATGTTCATCAGATGACGCTTGCATGCACTTCAAGAGAAGGGGATGCCAAGAGCGTTCAATGACATTGAGTGGCTGTCTCAATTTTGGACAGGACGACCAAGCTCCAGCGCTTGCACAAAGTTGTGAAGGATGAGCATGAGGTTCGTCGACAGAAGGCCTGGTTTTCGTTGGTTTTCCTCGTGTCCGCTAGCAAAGCATTGACGGGAACTTGGGCTACCCTATATATAAACCCCGTGTAAGAGTTATATATATATATATGTAACCGCCTTTCAGATGTTGTTAAAACAATCCGCGATGAGGTTCGCGAAAGTATATAACTATTTTTTCCGCAAAAGATTTATCGAAGGTTTTCGCTTTCGTTTGTTTTCCTTTCTACCGACTGACAAATGGTAGAATACAAGGCAATCCTCCGGCAGAGCCAGTGGGCGGAAGCGTCCACGCATGTCCCGATTGTCACAGCTCAGGCTAACGAACTTGCCCAGCCTCGCAGTGCGTAAAGGATTCTCCGATTCCTGTCGCCACTGTCACAGACTAGCAACGTGAGTAGGCACAGCCCTGACAGTGAGGCAACGACATGCAGCTGCTCTGACGGGCTGTGCAGATGTTTGCAACTGTTACGCCTTGCCGGGGAAATCGCCGGTGAAATGTCACGAAAAATCCACGAAAGCTTTGTCCAGGTTCCCAGCGTGAGGCCCCCCAACATTCCCCAAGCTAGCTGGCCCGAGGATTGGGTTGAGTTGCGCCTGGCTCTACCCATAGCCTATTCTAAGCCTCCACCAGAACTTAGGGTACTGTTTGTCTCACAGATGTCGCATGGGTAGCTGTGGAAGCTCTCAACCTTCTGCTGGGGTCATGCTGCAAGATGTCAGCCCCTATTTTTCGATACAAACATCAATAGCTCCGGCTCATGTTAGCTAGTCATGGTTGTAGGACCATGCTTCGGGATGAGGCCGCGAAAGACTTCAGAATGCATGGCATTTCTTTTTGGGGATTGCGCCATCTACCGGTGTGTCATTTTGAGGAGGGCTCTAAATCAGTTGATGGCACAGCTGTAACAATGCGCCATCTACCTACATTGTGGCCCTGACTACCATCAAAGGAGATTAGTGAACGATTTTTTCGCATTTGCTTTTGGGGTGTGCTCCTTAACTTGATCTGATGGGAAATAGATGGCTCATCAACCCAGTGAAACATTGATTGGAACCATAAATGTTGTACTGTAACCCTTGGTCGTGCCCGGCCATCCTCGCGCATAACCAGGTTCAAGTTCAAGTTTGTGTAATGGGGGTTGCTCTAAATAGATATGTTTTCAATAAGCATATCACAGTACTGTACTGCATTCAGTTTTGCTACATTGCGCAGTATTTGGTAGTATTTGTATAGGTTGGGCCGTCTATTTCTCACAGGAATACAGGACCAGGGGAAGGTAAAGGAGAAGCGAAGGAAAGGATAGGAAAAGGAAAGGGGGAGGGCATGAAAGGACATGCAAAGGAGACATTTAGGGGTAAGGGGAGTAGAGGAGAGGTTGCGCACAGGGACCACTGAAATACAGGACCAGGGGAAGATAAAGGAGAAGCGAAGGAAAGGAATTCTGAAAATTGGTCAAGGGAGTTTGAAGTGGAAGCACAGGGAAAGGGAAGAGAAAGGCGAAAGGCAAGGGAAGGAGAGGGAAAGGACAGGAAAGCAAGGGTGAGGAAAGGAAAAAACACGAAAGAAAAGCAAAGGGAAGGAAAGGTAAAGGAGAAGTGAAGGAAAGGAAGCAAAAGGATAAGACAAAGAAGGGGAAAGGACATGACAGGAGAGGGAAACGAGACATTTAGGAAGGGAAAGAGAGGGACGGGAGAGGGTCAAGAGAGTTGCCTCATCTATTCTCACAGGAACCACTGAAAGAAGGCGTGAATGAGCATAAAAAATACTATAAAAGGGCGCATGATTTTCTACAAAAATTTGGTCTGCTCCCCTTAGCCTGGGCGTGTCTCCAAAGGGCGCTGTCGGAGCCATCTACTCTGACCCCGGTGTATCATTTTTTTCCACGAAGACTTGCAATTCCAGGATGAAAGAATATTGATCAACCACCGTATGTATATATACATATATGTGCGTGTCTACAGCTATATAATTGCATAATGTCGACTCCTGATTAATAAACCCCCTCCTCCCCCCCCTCCCTCAACAATTGAGACTCCAGAATAATGTGCTAGAAAACCAATCAGTTGATCAAAATGAAAAGAATCATTTCTTAGCTATCTCTGGCAATACTAATTGAAAGGAAGTCTGCAATCAAAAACCTTCAAAAAAATCAAATCTCAATGGAAAGCCAGAGATGAAAAATAACAATATATAACAATGAAAAAATCAAGAAAAAACTATCCCTCCAAAAAAACATTATTCTGGTGGCCTTTATTAATCAGTGCAGGAAAAAAACAAGTCATTATTATGGGGACCTTTATTAATCAGAGGACCACATTATGTAATTATGTGTGTGTTTGTGTGTGTGGGCGCACACTTTTGTCCCGGAACCACTGACCAGTGCTCGTGCCGGTTGGTACCCCCTTGAAATATTGAGGGGGGAATGCCAAGAAGTGCGCAGGTAACTCGCTGGATCGCATAAGACGCTTGGTGCGAAAATGCTTAAACATATCCCTTTAGGCCCGACCAATACAGACAGCTCGAAAGACCACATCCCCAACTTGCATCACAAGCAAGCAGTCAATCAATCTCGCGACTTTCTCCCCCAAACCCACATATGTGCGCACCGTCTGGTGCTTGAGCGTGGACCTAAACCTGGGGCTCGCTTGGCCCTGAAAAAATGCGTCAAATCGAAAATGAGTGAGAACATGTCAGGATCAGAAGCACAACAGAACAACCAAGGGAAACGGTCAAGGCACCGTCTCACTACATCTTCAAACACAAAATAAAATTAGAAATTTCGAATTGGTACGAGAAAGGAAATTCAATTGTCAGTCACTCAAAGACTTCATTCAAAGAAACCCTCCTCCTCTTAGTTTGCAAGGGCTGAATTAGCAAGGAATCTAGGCGAAGCAGCTATACCGGGAAGGAAAGGACATTTGCAGCACATTGCCCACTATGAAGCCAGCCTGCAGTGGAAGCCTCCAAGACAGGGATGTGTGTGACATCCTCTAAAACAGCGGAAATGGAACGGTAGTCCCACATCAATACCCGTTCTAACAGACTGTTACATGACGTTATATCATCAAATGAACTGGACATATGACATGTAATTTGCCGCACTGCAGATGCAAGGCTGAAACTTGCGGAATGAACCTGCGGCGCAAAGCCGACCTCGCAGCAATCAAAGCAGAGAGTCAGCTCCCTGACTCGGAGTTCCTGGCCATAATAGGCCCTTCTGACGGGGAAGGCCTGGCAGGTGGTGCTGCATCGCTTCTTGCTCATAGAGCTCAGATGAAAGCAGCTTTCCCAGGTGCAGAAATTGAGGCCAATGAAGCTCCGATGGCAGACATAGACCGATGCCCGTTTGCATTGAAAGTTTCCTGCGGTTCAGCATGACAAAGCGCGACTGAAGGAATGTTGAGAGCACCCTTGGACAGCTTCTACTCCAATTGCAACATGTGCAGAGGTGCGAAGCCCACCTACCACGTTGGCATTTCCCTTTTGGTATGTGCATGTTTGAGGTCAGTACATGGACCACCACCACTTCTATCATCAGCTTTGCCCCCGATGTGCAGACCACAACTGGGAGAAGCGTCATCAGACAGCCGACATGAACGGCATGGTCTGTGTGCCACCTTCCAAGTTTAGCCTGTTTTGCTGGGGTGGCATTGACAAATCAGATGTTTATGCTTCCTCGGTTGTGCAGGTAGTCACTGGTGGCCGAGTGCGAATTGGCTATAGGATTGCTGCAGCCTTAGGTGTGAGATAGAGAGAGAGATGGACTTGAGATTAGTTGATTTTGAAGTTGTGAAGGACACAAGAGGACTTTGCTGAACTTGTCTTCGTAGGTCTTGAAGTTGTTGAGAGCTGGCGCCTTCGTCCTCACGACTACCAGGTATCCGAGTGATTGTTTCCAAGCTGCATAGTGGATCATCGTGTGACCGTGTATGTGTGTGTGTGTGCTGTGTGCGCGTGGCAAGCCTTGCAGGCGGTGTGACACTGTGAGCCAGTGGCTGTGATGGAGTGTGCATAAGGTGCTTGGCGCTTCTCCCAGGAAAGCGATTATGAAGAATGGCGGCACCGGCTGGAGGTTCTGCCAGAGCAAGGCAGCTGTACAAATGCTAGGCATTCCTACCATTTCCACCAAGGTTTGTGGTCCACTGGAACTTTGCGATGTGCGTTTGGTGGAACATTTCTGCGATCAATTGGTTAGGCGCTTTCCACGAATCAATGTCACCTGCTTGCATTGGGCGCGTGTTGGCGATTGTTCCAAGCTTAGGCAGCATATAATAGTTGTTTAAAAAAGAAAGTCGTGCAATATATATATATATATTATTATACTATATTATATTATATTATATATATATATATGTGTGTGTGTGCGTTTTTACGTTTTATGCATAACCGTCAGGCACTCGGACAAAAGTTGCAGCACAAGGAAACGTGGGTTTTTATCTCTTGCTTTGACAGTTGATGACAGTTGCAATGTAGAGCATCAGAACTCAGAACTTCAACCACAAGCCTCAAGACAGAAACCTTTTTGTCAACAGCATTTAGTGTTCAACTTCTTTTCTGTTGCTGCGTGATAATGATGGGACATCTACTCACCCCCCAAGAGTTACTCCATGTTACTCCATGTTGTCTATTTGTTGTGCAAGAACGAGACGCCTTGCCCGAGTTGTCTCTTACACCCAGGTGTTGATCAACAACGCTGCGCAGACCCTAACCCGTCAGAAAGGATGGAATTTACGCATGGCAGAATTGGAACAAGCGGCGGCGCTCAGCTCAGAGATGCTGAGAGTACGCCGTAGGAGACTGTAGGAGTAAGGTTTCAATGATTTTTAGCGGCTTGCCAAGCTTATGAGTTGCTCTGCTGAATGTCTTTGAGGCATTCCGGCTCCATGAGAATTCCAAAACACACAGCACAAAGGCTGGCCTTTTCGTGGGCAAATACGACAGCTAAGTCTGTAAGCGACGCATCAGCATCGGCTCTTTTTTCGAAGGAGTTATACTTTGTCGTTTGATAGTTGCTATGCCTCAACTTCCATGTAAGCCTCGGCCACGCATGGGCAGTATTGAAATGATTAGGGCGCATTGACTTCAAGGCGCCGCAGATTTGCCATCCTCATCAACTTGCTATTGCCCATGGACCACATCATCAGCTACATGAGTCACACGAGCCTGGAATTGAATTGGCCGTCCCACGTCCAAGCGTGCTTTGGAGGCAAGAATCAAGAATCAGCCTAAAATTACTGTATAGCAAGATGGCTTTGCCAACATGAGAGGCTCATTACTCATTCATTCTTTTCCAGTTGTTTTTCCCGATGCATTGGAATTTGTCAAACTGCAGTGGCCAGAGGACGGATGCTAAGGCCGCATGGAAGGATGCACTTGTGCTACAGGCCGGGCCACGACATGCAATGGATTACGTAAACAAATGCAGCAAAAACTCAATGGTGGTTGCAGAATACCCAAAGACCAGTCCAAAGACCCTCTCGCCGTCCCCTCTGCACGATGTCCCCTCTTGGGAGAGGAAGAAGCGTTGCCGTGGGCACACATGGTCCGATCAGGAAAATTAAGAAGGAAGACAGGGTAGCAGAAAGTATACGAGGAAGGGAGGAGGAAAGCAGTGTGTATGTGTGTGGGTGAGGGTGCGAGGGTGTGTTTGTATTGTGTTGTTGTGCGCCTATGTGGGTGTGGTTGTGTTTGTGTTTGTGTCAATGCTGTGTTGGCCCTTTGCCATTCTCAGGGAATGGTCCGAATGGTGATGTTGCGAGAGGAGAACCTCAGATCGATCAAGTGCAGGTTTGCTAATTCTTGCAGACCAATGAAGAAGCACGCCCTTCACGCCAGATGCGTCAATCGTTTGGTTGTAACGTATGTCCGTATGTCCCGTTGCTGTTAGTGTGTCAACATGTGGTTCAGAGCTCACAATAGTATGCAGCCTACCAGGTGGAAACAGCATGCTGTCCTAGGTATATAATTTCTGAAGGTAGAAACTCTTGCAAACAAAGTCATCAAATCCGAACTCCTGAAAAGCAACATCCTTCTCCGGATGGTATTCATCCCATCTTGGCTTCTCAATAGCCAGCATCCAAGCCAATGAAGAATCACGCTCTATGGCCTCTAAGAAGGATGCACTTCATCTGAACCTTTTTTCGTGATTGTGCTAGCTGGGCCCAACTCCTTCCAACCTCCCAGCCATGAACGAAAAAGTATTGTTGGTATCTACTCCATTGTACCCTCCTGGTTCGTCTTCTGGCTTGTAGGCCATAGGTTCCCCAGGCGTGCCGTAGATGGAAGGCCTGTGCTTGCGGATCAAGATGATTCAAGTACAACCAGTACAGTACAACCCTGATATTCAGTCAAGAGTCAAGCGGCCCCAATTCCTGGCCAGGATGACGTTCGCCTGTGACTTGCCGCACGCGTTTCCCCGTCGCGACTTATGATCGTGCGGATGCCTTACCCGATGATCCGACGGTCCGATGATCCGACGCTCAGTGATCGGAGGCGGCCTTATGGTCTGAAGGTCTGATGATCCCGTGGTCCCATTATTGTTTTGATGACTGGCAGCAAAGATGATGAATAATCTTGTGGGGCTATTTCTCCACCTCCAAGGATCCCAGAATACCCACACACCCAGCTGCAATCCTGGCTGCCTTCTTTCCATGGTCCTTGAAAATTTGCTGGCGTGAGACTCAATCATTTCCAGCAGGAAGAACATAAACCCATGCCTGCACATGTGTTTGGTCTTGCGCTTGTAAGCAGACAGCCAAGCGAACGTGAATTCCGCCAGTTCCAAATCACTCAGCGCACGAATGGGGTATTGGGTTGGTGCTTTGAAGCTTAGGTAGAAGTGGGTTTGTTTACTTTTCACTTTTACAGTATGTATCTTTGTCCTTAAGAACGTAAGTTAAACTGAAAGAAGTAAATGTGTAAAAACAAAAAGCAAATGGCATAAAACAAATCCAAGAAAAACTTTAGTATTGGATTTGTTTGGATCACATTAGGTTTTGCAGAAAGTGTCGGTGTGGCCAACAGCATGGAATTTGTAAATTTTCCCGACTGAGGTCTACCCTTTGCTGATGGATGTCCATACTCTGAGTGCCCCCCTCCTGTGCCATGGCCTGATGCCGCCTGCTCCTGGCACCCCCGTGGGGCTGCTAGAGCTGCGGCTGATGTGCTAATGGGCGATGAGGATGAGGTACGGGCTGGCCCCTCTGGCTCCTCGCCTCGATTGCATTGCCCTATAAAAGTTTGTGTGGCTCATTCCTCCTCCGAGCATAACGGTTGGGAGACCTTTGCTGGGCTGCGAGCACATGTGGATGCTCATTTGCTTGGGCTTCTCCCTGGCGCGCCCCCTCAAGATTGGCTGCGGGCTCGCAATGTTGTCGGGTGTCGCGAACGTGGCCGCTTGGTGAGCCGCCGATGCAATGGTGGTGCGCGCCGCACCGGCGAGGCGACACAGCTTGCCGCTCGACCTCAACCCATTCATCTGCCTGGAACACTACCGGATGCTGATCCCGATCAGCTCCTTGGTAGCTTGCCCTCCTTGAGTGAGATTTGCGCTGCCCCCATCGGCACCCGTGACTTGGTCAGCTCTTCCTTGCTGCCGATGGCCCAGAAGGAGTTCCTTCGGTGTGTTGCGCAAGTCCTGCAGCACAACTGTGCGGATGCTTGGGCCGACCCGATGGGTGGCAGCGACACTGTGGCACGGAAACGACGTCGCCTGGCGTGGTTGGAGCTATGGAGTGGACACCTGTCCTGCGTAGGGGGACTAGGGCATCTCGGCGCTTGCTCTTTTGGTGGTCTTTTGACTAGTTGCTTCCTGATGCTACTTGCAGGTGCGTATGTTGTGCTGTGGGTTTCTGATTTCCTCATCATTTTGCGCTCTCGTGTTTTGCGTGCCCCACCCTCTGCCACCCTTCGGCACGCTGGGATAGGAACTTTGCGCCCATGCTTGGGCAGCAGCATTTTTAAGGCATAGGTTACGCCTTATGTTTCTTGTTTGCATATGCTATGCGTTTTTGATGTTTCCCATCATGTGACAAGGCGTTGCTCTCTTGGCGCTGGGGCATTCTATTCTATTGCGCTGTAGATGCATCAGTCCCCTTCTTGTTGCAACGGAACCACCACATCTCATCCAACCGCCTCGTGTGATGGAGTTTGGGGGGAGCGGCGCACTCTTCACAAGCTGGGGCTCCACTTTCCCTGAGGGGCAACAACGTGGTGCTCGACTCAAGCTGTTTTGTTGGCTCGACGGGGCATGCCTGGCAAAGCTGTGCAGCGCGTTGCGAAAGCACCCTTGGCAGCTCCCAGTGAGGCTACCATAGCAGCTATGCAAGCCAAGTTTCCTGCACGCCCCCCCCACCAGCTTGGTTCCAGCCGGCAGCTTGCGCCCCCTGCCAACGAGCTCACTTGTGAAGACGTGGTGCGAGCCATCCGCTCCTTTCCTCAAGGCGCTGCTCCTGGCCCTAGCGGGTTGCGACCTGATTTTCTCAAGCAAGTAGTGGGCGAGGGCGATGAACAATATGGCGCTCAGCTTCTCACCAGCCTTGTGAACTTCCTGGCGGACGCCGGTTTTGGATTTACCGGCTGCCTTGGACATGGCGCCTTGCTACGCTGATGATGGCCTCCTTGCGGGCCCCTCGGCTGAAGTCCTCCGGGCCTTGCAGCATTGGACCCAAGAGGTTTTAATGTATTATGTTTTCGCGAAAGCTAAACATGCAGTCGCGAAAGGTTGTGCGAACTTTTCATTGGCGAAAGCTAACATCTCAGTTGTTTTTTTCGGTGTGAGATAGGGCCCAGGAAGGAGGGACCCTGGTCGCGTAAACTTATAGTGGACCCCGGTAACAACAGGCCCCACTGCTGGTCCCTTTTGCGCTTGAAAGAGAACTTCAGCAAGTGGCAGCCGTCGTCGTGGACACAGCAAGTGGCCTTTGGCGCTGCTGCATGCGCTTCTGCCATTGTAACATATCTCTGGCTCAGACTCTCCGACCCATAGATTTCACGGTTGAAAAGAATAGTGCCTGATGAGATACACACTGCCAATACGCCTGCGGCTCTTGCTAGAAGATTCTGCGTGTCTTCTTTGTGAGTGGAGCGAGGCACAGCAGCCAGACCCTCTCGAGAAGACACTTGAGGTAACACATGTGAAGGCAAGGGGCCGTGGTCCGCTGCAGGCTGAAGCACTTTCCACTTCGTGTTCGTTTTGTTTGCTTGGCGGTCAGCTCCAGCTTTGTTGAAGTAGCTGGTCAACAGTTCCTGGTTCACAGATGTCTCTGACGCCCAAGCACCTCTCGGCCATCTGGTTGAAACCTGTGGTCTAGAATTGCGCGCTCCTGGCGCAAAGGAATCATGGCAAGGTCGGTGATGGTCGGCGGTCGCCCTAAGCCAAAAATGGTGAGAACACGGCCTGCTTTGAAAGTTTGAACCAGCGAATCACAATCTTCATGGACTGATGCACCATCCCGCTCAAACTCTCTCTCTCTCTCTCTCTTCCTCTTCTCGGTTCTTTTCCTGAGCTCAATCATTCCACCGCAGCCTCAAGCCAAAAGTGGTGCCCCAGTTCTACGTCCACCTCCATGGAAGATGCTGGCGATGCCTCCGACAGTGACCAGCATATCTGGCACCCCAACAGACCAAAACCAGATATATACATTATCTAAATATGTCCGTCCTCAGCCGGACTCGTGGTTTGCAAGAGTTGTCTCTTTCAGGTCCAGCATCGCTCACACTTGATGTAGCTGAGGCTTTCCCACTCAAAGAGGTCTCGACAGTGCCAGCCCATGTCCTTGAAGTACGCTTGCAAGATCGCGATAGGCCCGCCAATGACGCGCTACTGTGGCCGTTTGGCCAAGCTTGAAACAATTTGCGAAAAGCATGCAGCTGTTTGTTCACTATGATCTTTGGCTCCGCGTCCTGTACAGTTCGTCGCACCAAGATCAGCACAGCACACGCCGAGCTTGAGCCAAGAGCTTGAGCCATCTCTACCTCTCTGTTTGTTTGTTTGTCTGTTTGTCGGTCTGTCTCTCTCTCTCTCTCTCTCTTTTTGCCGGGGTTGGACGTGTGGCCGATGCAGGTGTTGCAATGACCTGACGGGCCAGTGCTTGAGCTCATTGTCAACATCTCATTCAATAAATTTTAGATTACGTTTCCTGTGTTGACACACCAATCAGTTTTTTTTGCGGTAGCCCTGCTTCACTCATCCAAAATTTCGAGGTTTGTTTTGAATAGGGGTCTTTAGACGCAATACTTAGGTGCCAGTACTCACGAAGCTATGACATTGTCATCCAGGTCCATATTGGCCATACACCCCTTAGCCCCCCAAGTTTCAAAAATTCTGGAAGCACCACGAATCAATCATTGGGTTCTTCGTTGCCATGGCCTGGGTTAGAGCACC